TTGAGCTACAGCGCCACTTCCGGTTTTCTGGTGGTTTATTGGAGATAAGAGTCTCACGGTCTCTCCTGCCCGGGTTGGCTTTGAACCTTGATCCTCAGATCTCAGCCTCCTGAGTAGCTAGGATTACAGGCGTGAGCCACCAGCGCCCGGCTATCACAAACTTTCTTAAAGGCCACTGACAGCTTTGAGGCTTATCACCAGCTGTACTGAGTTGCTATATCAGTCAGGAACTTATAATAAAAATCATTTCTGTAAAGAAAATTTCAGGGCTGGGAAGGTGGCTCAGTGGTAGAATGCCTACCTTGTATGTATGAGGCCCTGGGTTTGATTCCTCAGCACCACATAAGCAGAAAAAGCTAGAAGTGGCACTGTGGCTCAAGTGGTAGAGCACTAGCCTTGAGCTGAAGAGCTCAAGGACAGCACCCAGGCCCAGAGTTCAGGCCCCACAACTGACAAAAAGGAAGAAAAAGAAAATTTCAGTGCACCTCCAACCATGGGAATGAGTTTCTAATGTTTTGGGATTTAAAATATACTACCTCAGCCGGGCACTGGTGACTCAGGCCTATAATCCTAGCTACTCAGGAGGCCAAGATCTGGGGATCGCGGTTCAAAACCAACCCAGGGCAGGAAAGCCCCTGAGACTCTCATCTCTAATAAACCACTCAGAAAATCAGAAGTGGCACTGTTGCCCAAATGGTAGAGTGCTCACCTTGAGCTGAAGAGCTGAGGGACAGCGCCCAGGCCCAAAGTTCAAGCCCCACAACCTACAAAAAATAATAATTAAAAAAATATATACACTACCCCTACTCAAGGTGGTTGTTGTTTTGGTGGGTCGGTCATGGAGCTTGACTTTGGGCCTGGGCACTATCCCTGAACTTGTCAACTCAAGGCTAACATTCTACCACTTGATCCACAGTGCCACTTCCAGTTTTCTGGTGGTTATTTGGAGATAGTCTCACAGACTTTCCTACCTGGGCTGGCTTTGAACCTCAATCTGAGGATCTCAGCCTCTTGAGTAGCTAGGATTACAGGCATGAGCCACTGGTGCCTGGCTACCCCTACTCAAGGTTATGTTTTGGCTTTTGTAATTAAGTAATGGTCATGCTGACCAACTCAAGACTGTGTTTTGCTTCTACTTCTGCAGCCTAAGGTTATGTTTTCCTTCTATAAATCTGCTTGCTTGCCTTTACAACCCCGCCCATCCCCCGTTTGTGGTTTTTCCTTTAAAAGGCCCTCATGGGAAAAGACTTCACTGCATTCTACTACCCAAATAGTGGGGTATAGTCACCACGCTGCTAATAAAAACTCCTAGCTTAGTTGATTGAGTGTTGGCATGTCTCTCTGGGAAATCAGAATACTATACTCACAGCCTCTCCTCTAGGAAAGTGCTCTACCACTTAAGCCACATCCCCCGCCTTCTTTGCTTTAGTTATCTTTCAGCTACAGACTCCTGCTTTTTGTTCCTGCTGGCTTCAGATCATGAACCTCCTACCTATTCCTCCTCAGTAGATGAGATTTACAGGCATGATTCATGTCACCTCTTTTGAGGGAGAGAAATATACAAGTAGTATGGGGAGTTTTTGTATGAACCATAGAGACAAAAAATAATCCCTTTATATAAATCTGACAACAAAAAAATCCCTGCTGTTTGTGACAGCTGTGAGCCAGCTGCTGAGGGCTACTGTGGTTTCTCTGACATGAAGACACATCATCCATGCCAACCGTTTATTATTAACAAAACATACTGTATCTCCTGGGTTCTTCCAGCACGGATCCAGAGCTGAGTGGAACATATCATCCCTTTGGCTGCTTTTCCCTTATGTAAACTGATAAGAAGGAGAACAGAACCATGATAAGAGGAGATGAACAGTGCTTGATTTTTTCAGTGTACGTTCACACCTCACGTTGTTACCAGGCTTGTGAGAGGAGGGTCTCTTCTTTTATATCTAGAGATTCCCCCTATCCATGAACCCTCTCCAACTCCCCTAGAAGTAGCTACCTTCTCTAAGCTACTACACTAATTTCATCACAGATAACCTATGCTCCAGTCTCCCTTGCTATGCTATATCTCCACAAAAATGAGTAAACTTTATTCATCATCATTAAAATCCTTAATGCAATAGCTGGTTCCTGGAAAATAGTTGTCCTTTATTGAACATAAGCATAGGTGTAAGAGGGATATAATGGTCATGCTCCTCTGGAGATTGAGATCTGAAGATCACAGTTTGAAGCTAGTCCATGAGACTCTTATCTCCAGTTAATCACTAAAAATCTGGAAGTGGAGCTGTGACTAAAGTGGCAAAACACACCTATGAATGAAAAAGCTAAGGGACAGGGCCCAGGCCCTAAATTTAAGCCCCAGGACTGAACACACACAAAAAATGGATGGAATGCCGGGCGCTGGTGGCTCACACCTGTAATCCTAGCTACTCAGGAAGCTGAGATCTGAGGATCGCGGTTCAAAGCCAGCCCGGGTAGGAGAGACCGTGAGACTCCTATCTCCAATAAAACCACCAGAAAACCGGAAGTGGCGCTGTAGCTCAAGTGGTAGAGTGCTCGCCTTGAGCTGAAGAGCTGAGGGACAGC